GTAACAGATTAGGCTAATTCCTTTCAGTTTAAAACGAACTTTTTACGCAACCCTGGAACGCCTTCAGTTGTTTACATATCAAAAAGGAAGCCTTTCTCGTCACTTTGTTCTTGAAAAAAACCTACCTGCTAATGCTTTTGATTGAAAAGTTGGCTGATTTCTGCTGTTAACTGCAAAGTTTCGCCCTGCGACTAACTCACGGCTTGCGGCGGCTAATTTCGCACATTTTGGGGGTATTATCAAGCGAGCTTTACGGAAGTCGGCTTACTGTGATTTCTCCTCTCGCTATCATGGAAATTTCGTTAGTTAAGTTGCGTCTTAGTGAAAACCAATGGAAAATCGTAAAAACGCAAACGACTACCGAAGGTGATTAAAGTTTTCTTTGAAACGCAATTGCGCGCGGTGTTCCATTTAACTAAGTTATTGAACTGAGTACTTGCAGTTTTTAATAAACTGTTAATTAATTTTTGCTTTATGTGGAAAATGACAAAATGAAGTAAATGAGTGCGAATGAGTGCGATAAATTAAAATCTGTCGCGTCATTTTTTGAAAGCAATCGGAACACGGAGCAAATTGACCGTCATGTAAAGCGGTTTAACCAAAATTTTTCGTCTTTTCGATTGAAGGTTCAAGATGGAACCATACCTTTAGAATCTATCCATCACCTTTCCTCTTTGAACTTAATTGTCTTAATCATTCTTACACAGAGGGACGTGTTCCTAAGACGCTGCAGATCTGTAATTGACACCATTATGATATACCTAGTCGCTATCTTCAGTCGAATTTAAAAAAATGCGGTTTTTCAGTTTTGGACGGTCCACTTGAAAAGAAAAATTGATCAGAATAACAACCAATGTCGGTTTCAACCTTAAATACATGAGTAGCACATGAAAATCTATTGCATCATTGACTGAAAGTCGCCGCAACAAGTTCATTTTAGAATTGACCGTCATTTTAATGCAATCTGCCAACTCTGTGGCGTCTTTTCGATCATCGTAAACAGTTTTCTTAATTTTCAAGGTTTACTTTCACCCGTCATAAATAACCTTTCACTTATTTCCTTTTGTTTATCACTAAAAAAAGATCGGTTATTTTGTTCTCCTCGTCAAGAAAGAAATGCATTAAACCCAACAAAATTACGAACTTTGTTCATTGACAGTTCAGTGAGGAAACCATATAGTCAACAATGATATCAATTCACCACGTAATAATGAAACAATTATATTTTTTTGTGTTTCTTTATTATGGTGCTCGTTTCGAAATACTTCACTTCCACGTTAACTATCGATTATCAAAACCGGCTGTATATTTTAAGTGAATTCTGTTTAGGCCTTCCAAGGTGAGCTCGCCGTCCGCTTTCCAGATAATTCACTTTGAAGAAATGATGACGTTTACTTTTCAATTAGCTGGGACTCAAAGCACCAATCGGGTAAGCTGTCTCTATGGTCATCTCACGGTCTTTGTTTCGACAGCAGCTGTGTCTTATTTCTTTTAGAAGCCGACACTTTTTTCTCTCCTGATAACAACTGCAACTTAAATTTACCACCTTCGCCGTTGCATGAAAAGGCTTGATTAATATGCAGTTTTGCTTTTAATTTTGTCTTCCAGATGAACGCCGCTAATAAGTGAAACGACGACCTCTTTACTACAACGGAAAGTCATTTGATATCAACCACTTTAAGAGCTTTTTCGTAAACCTCCATGTTGGGCGGACGATCTGTATCCAGATAAGTGTTTGCGGTAGGCCTAATTTAACAGAAAAAGTACTGGTTTCAAATTACTTCGGCAAAGTTTGGACGGAACCTACGTACATTGCCTTCCAGTGAGCACAGCGCATACTCTTTTAAGCGGTATCAGTTGCTATCAGCCCCGTTATTCAGTTGAGAATTAAACCTGGGCACAGTTCACGAGCATAATATCAGCTTGTTTACGAAGTCAGTGTAGGCGCAAACTTTTAAGTCTTAGCTCGATAACCGGGCTGGGGTATTCATAGGAGATAATTTCAACCACGGTTACAATCTTGCTGATCAGACTCAAAGGCCTAACGGTTAGTGCACTGGACTCCGGGTCGAGAGGCCTGGGTACGAGACCTGACCGGCTCATCGTGTTATGTTCTTAGGCAGGACATGTCACTCTCGTGGTGCCTCTCTCTCTTTGTAGGGGTGTAGATGGGTATCTGCGAATTGTCAAAAAGACGTGAGGAGATACCAGGGGTAAACTGTAGCGATTAGCATCCCACCCTGGTCCCTTCATGCTACAGATAAATTCAATTCATGTGCAACTTGGACGGAGATCAGACCACTTTCCTTTACCTTTTTTAACCAGGTTGGCTCGCCTGAATCACGTGTTATTTTGCGATAGATGCCGCATTAATGTGCGAGGTTTTTCTGCCATCATTGTCTTACAGAAAGGTCTATCAGCTTTAAGCATGTAATAAATATATCCGTTGAGTCCAGTTGTTTCATACTAGAGATTCTTAATTATATTTGATGTTTTTAAAGACAGACAGAAAAACTTTTCCTTTCCTGATTTGGTAAAAAAAAACTGGTATTTATTGTTCGTTATCCGATTTGGCTCCTCTCCGGCACCTAAGAGAGATGTTAAGGGACAGGCCTAGCCTATTTTCCAAATAAAATTTATGTTCTTGAAAAGCTAGCTAACTCTTTAACTCACTGAATACTCAAAGGGATTTGTCAAACAATAAAATTCAGCGTGTGCTCATGGATGTTTTTGGCAACCTTACCCAGATGGAAAAGCTGTAAGTGGCATTCAGTAAAAACTTCGCAGCAAAGCGAATTATAATGTACAGTTTTCCATAGAGCTTTAAGCAAATTAATGCTTTATGACCATTATAAGAACAGAGCTGCGAGAATTTAGATTTTGTGACTCTTACGTGAAGCGTATTAAAGTAAACACCATGAGCTCAACTGGCTTTATATAATGCTAGCTTTGGTGGAGTTGATCATCGAGAACAATTGAAAAAAAGAGGTCAATATTAAATTCAATTGTCTCACACGGCCTTTTGCTTCACGTGACTTGTGACTATAATATTTTTGCTGAGTAACCAGGGAACTCTGTTAAGATTGATTTGTGATGTAAGTGACTTATTATAGTTTGGTGCGTCAGTACTGAAAAGTGATGTCATGATATGAAAACGCCCATATTAACAATGAACGTGCAAATGGTATCTTTTGCCTAAATTCTCAGGATCAGGAGTAAACAGTTTATGTACTCAGCAAAAATGGGTAGAAACTTTATAAGTCTTCAAAATAGCTTTGCCAGAAAGAATTGGGTTTTATTTCATGTCTATTCGGAGAGAACAAGAACCTTTCCAAGAATCTCAAATTCTATTTCAACCGACTTTTTTTCATTTTATACATCACTCACAGCTTACTCTCCAGTTCCAAACTTCAGCGCTTGCCAAGGTTCAAAAACCTCTCCGATTTGAAATATTGTAAGTGATTCACGTTTGTGATATAACTGGCTCAGTACATGTCTTGTATAATGAGCATTAATTAAAGGTAGCGTTGGCCAAAAACAAAGAATCAGCTTGGATACGGACTATTTCTCTGGCATCTTCTTATGACTTAAAAGTTTGTTTAAGGATGTTAATTGAGTAAAAAGTTAAAAATAAACATCCACTTTGGAAAGAGATACCATCAACTAAGAATTACCAGTGCTGATATGCCGAAAAATGTCCATTTCTCGTCTTCTTTGGGACGACCGATGGAAACTTCATAGAGAAATACAGCGTCACGCAATCGTGACAACGTACATGTTTATGACAAATGACCGGTGTGAGGATAGTTTCATGTAGATCAGCTGACTTCAACATGTTTCAAATGACATACAAGTATAACAGTGTATCTTCAGAGGACTTCAGATCGCTCATATTCCCATGAAAGAAGGTGCAGCACTCGGAATCTGGATGATATGCAAACGATTTGAGGTATACATGTATGTTTGTAGTTACGTCGAGTAGTCTTCCATGAAGGTTGATCAATTTTTTTTTTAAAAGATGACTAGCAGAGATGAGATTTCTCTTCGGGATATTGCTCATAAGATGACATTCTTTCAAAACTTTACATGTTTCATTTTTCTGAAACATTTGTTGTAGAGAACATTCAGATGTAAACATCGCCAAATTATGCAATATCTGATTTTTGAGTTCGTTCGCGAATTGCTCCTATGGAAAGTAGAGGCAGACCCGCAGAGATTTTAACATTTTTAAAAACTAGAATATTATAATCAGCTATGTGGGTCGTTTCAGTTCCAGAATCGTTGCACTTTTGGAGGAATTTAAACGTTTTCCCTGTTTTACCCGACAACAAAGATGACCGGAACTGTACCGAAATGAATAATCTGTTAGTGTGTTCAACTTCACTCCCAGGGAAAATTGACTGTATCAATGTGAAGATGAATGATGTTACTATGTATGGTAGAAGTGCCAATTTGTAATGTTGTATTTAGCTTGAGATAGAGAAATAAACATTTCACTCTTTTTTTGCGACGTTTTTGTGTGAAAATGAGGCCCCAGGCCTCGAACAAGCAGCCGTTGTTACCATGGCAACAAGAGTGCTGCGCCCTTTAAAAAGAGGATTTTTGTGCATCCCTCCTGAGCGCTTGACTGCATGCAAAATTTGGAGGGGGGCTGAAAATTTTCATTTCCCAAGATGTTTGATTCTTACAGAGACTTGTTCTTAAAAACTAATGAGACGAACTGATTTGAAACCTGAAAATAATTTGAATTTTTTAGCTTTCTGTGTGTTCGTTTCCACGTGATGAGGTTTGTAAAACAGTTCTTATCGGCATAAAAGGTGATAGTCTTGTTTTTCAACCACAAGTTATCACTTTGTTTGTTGTGTATTGTAACACTCAATCTGAAAATATCTTCCTCATGTGCTTGCGACCCTTGTCATCTTTTCGCGCCGTTTGTTGACTCGTACTATTCTTCTCACGGCCACTCCATAGTGTGCCTGACATAATTATTTCATCGTAACTTCAAAATAACATCACTGAAGATTTTACTGAATTTAGAAAGAGTGAATAACTGGAAGTACCTTCCTGGTACGCTTCGGCAGCAAAGCAGGCTCGTTTGTTACCGCCAGGGGTACATTGGCTCGACTGCGTACCAAAATGGTATGATTAGGTGAGAACTGGGTAAAATATCTATTAGATCACGGAAGAAAGAACACGTGGATGATTGTCGCGAGCGCTGGCGCTGGCAAGAAGAGCGAGAGTTTTCGACAGGCTGTATTTTAGTACAAAGCAAAAAGGAAAAAAGGTTTAAGAACTTCAGTGCCTTCAGAGGATGAAGTCCAACATCATATCACAATCTGCCGCTTCAATTAAACAATGGTCGAAAGTAAGAGTGAGGATTCTGACACAACTGCAAAGAGCGCTGAGGTGAGTCTGTATGTTTTATCATTTCACCGTGCGATACGATCCTTTAAAAGTTTCAGTAGTCTTACTTTAAAAATCTTGCTCGTGCTAAACAGGGCATGTGCTTTGCTGTGGGTTTTTGTTAGGTTTTTTGAAAGCTCTTCGTGGGTAAACAAACCATTCCTTCCTCGAGAGGTCAGTTATCGTCGTCGACAAACTCGTAAGAAATAGCTTTCAGTTCAGTATGGCCATCGCGAAAAAAACGAAAAGTGATTGTGAACAAGGAGTGTTTCCTTGTCAGTTACTATTTAATACGCAGTCAGGTTTGGCGAATTTAATTCTAAAAGAGTGTCATTAATGTGACCAACTTTAATTACAGGAAAAGGAAAGTGGAAAGGGAGCATGCCTGTATGTGTCCTCAGCAAAAAGTTCAGATTCAACAACAATCATCATCAAGAAGCTGGAGACCATTAGGATTTACTGTTAACATTAGGAATCAAGCATTGCATCAGCTTCACAGTTATGTGCCTCCATGAGGATGGCTCTTATTGTGTTGGAAGACTGTGAAGAAAACAATTTCATTGAGACTATCAAGTAAGTATCCCCTTTGTTTGTAAGTCTTTCCACTCTTAAAGACTTCATTGTGAGTGGTCAAATAAAGTTCAATTAAATGCATGATTATAAACACAAAAAAATTAGACACTTCTGATAGGCTGAAAACAAGTGCATTTTTCACACAGCACAAGTGCAAAGTTGTAACACAAGTGCATATTATAAATAGTATGCTGTTAAAATTATGAATAAGTGCTACACATGTACAAATTGCACTTGCCTTATGCACTCTTGCAATTATGTTGTCTTTGAAAAATTTACTTGTGCTTATTATCACCAAATTGTTTTGAAAAGTTATTACCTGAACAGGATTCCTTTAAAATGTTGTATGGATTACATGCAACTGCATGAGTTAGCATTGCAAAGATTTCACATTGTGGATTGTGGACAATAAGTGACAATATAAACTTAAGGGTAATTTTCACTGGCTTTTTGAAGCTTTTAACTATAAATTCTCTCTGAACATTTTGCTTTCAATAACTTTTCCATAGTTTCTCAGTTATAAGGCGAACTTGGTTCTAAGATGCACCTCAAACTTAATAACTTAGTCAAGCCAAGTTCCCAAACTGAAAATTACGTGAAAATACTTGGTTATAAGATGCACCAAAAGGATGAGAGTTAACAAAAGGATTTAATGGAACTGAGAACAATTATTCCTACACAACTGGCATGCAAACTCTTTTGTTAAAATGTAAATAAAAGTGAAAAAGTCCCACATTTAATGATCTACGTAAAAACCAAGGCTAAAATTTCACACCTGATTATGAATATTCAATGATCCTGATTTCATTCTATTAACCCTTTAACTCCCAGATCAAATTTGTAATTCTCCTTACCATCAACCATACAATTCTTACAATGTTCATTCAGAGAATTTTGTTTTGGATCAAGTAATTATCCCCAAATTGATCTTTTCCTTTAATCTCATCACTTATCTAGTTGCTATTGTATAGATATTTTAAGGAGAAATTCTGTCTTAGTCACCCATGGGAGTTAAAGGGTTAAACATCAACCAACTGATTTAAAACTCAGTTGTAAAACTAACTGATACGTTCTCATCCTAAACAGTCAGAGTTTAACTTCAACTTCTTGTTCGATTGCAAATATGCTAAGCACTCACCATCACTGATATGACCTCAACTTCAAGTTGAAAATTGTTGCCAAAGCTGAGGCAGTCAACAACAATCGTGAAATTGCCCATGAATATGGCATTTCAGAATTCATGGTGAGAAAATGATGCAACCAGCAACATGTCCTGTTTTCTGGTGGGCTGCCAATGATAGCAAAGTGTGTATCCTTGCAACACTATGAACCAAAAGACCTGAGTTGGATATCATGTTACCGAGCACGTGCTCTTGAGCACGTATGCAAATTTCCACTTGTTTGCTTTTCTATAGAAGTTGATTTAAGTGTTCTAAAAGCAGTATTCATTTTTAATTCATAGGAATAAAAGTTTGAATTCGATGTAATCTTCGCTACACCTCAGACCAAAAAGCTCTGCTTTTTCTCCTTTTTCTCTAAACAGTTAGTGTCCTTTTCTTGTCTTTTTAACTACAGTATAAGTTCTGCTAAAATTGTGATATCAAGATTTTTTTGTGCAAAAATACTTGGCTATAAGATGCACCTCAATTTCAGCATTAACTTTCCAACCGAGGAAAGAATTTTCTTGTAAAAACCATGTGCCTTAGAGCCAAGAAACTACGGTAAATTCTCTTTGAACATTTTGCTCCATTTCTCTCCACCAAAATTTGTCACTATGTATTTTGTGGTGTTTGTTTCCCAAAATCTGTGGAAGATTCTTTCTCTCCTAGACAGTCATGGCCTCAGTGGCTGTTTCAATGAATATACTTGGTCATCATAACCTATTTTGTTTCAACAGATCACCGAAGGATGATGATACAACAAGCACACGCCCATTGTATTTATTTCTTCTGGACTCCTGTCAGGTAAAGCTGTTCCTTTCTCCCTGGTTACTTATATCACTATGGCAACTGGCCAAAGTAGCCCTCTCTTATTCCTTAGTAAGGGTTAAAACCAGTTATATGAGTTCTTTGAGACAGAGCTGACCTCCTTGATCAGTAGCGAAAGAAGAGGCTCTGTAGAAATGTAGGTATTGTTAAAACTAATTTTGAGAGAAAGAGAGTGGTCTAAAATCTATTGTTTATTGTCTCGTAATGATGAAGCTATGTCATTGAAGCTTTACAGGCCAGTGATTCTCCATCTCTTCTCATTTTTTCCTAACATCTTGCATGGGTAAATACAGTAATAAATTTAATGGTAGAAAAGTGTAGTGTATTGCATGCCTACCAAAACTAACAACCATACAGAGTCAAGGGCATGTACATGTACATGTACTGTACATGTAGGTTCAACTTATATATTTTGCCTCTTCTAAGTATTGGTTCAAAGATTAATTTTACTGTGTGTTTTTTAATATGTTTCTTATGATACAGCTTGCAAATATATACTGTTGCAGAAGGCAATAACAAAAAGTACAATTTTTGTAGGCAATAGCTTTTTTATAAAGGGTAACTCAGCTGTAGTAATGAATAAAGGGGGTAAGTTTCTAAAGAAACTGTGGTGCTGCATCAGTGGGAGAGTATAGCAGGTAATTTAGTGTTAACAACTGAGTTGAAAATGTAAATTAGCCACCGTAAAGGGTAAAAAAGCTGATGTTTCAAGCATTAGCCCTTCATCTGAGCAATTCCAATCACTGACGTAGTAATCTAGTAATTAACAGCACAAAGATTGACTGGATTGAACTGTTATCAACAATGATTTGATCTTTTTGTTAATTCTTTTTTACTCTTGATTGTAGTGTGCAATTTTTTTTAGTATTGATTGACAGTTGTTGCAGTGCTGTTATGACTATAAATTTACAAGTTTTTCCTGGATTCTGTCAGATACTTGATGCAAGAGGTCAGCTTTTCCTTGTTGCTTACTATTTTTAAATAGTAAGTGACAATAGTAAGTATTATTATAATAGTAAGTTAATAAATAGGTAGTCAGGTTTGGTGAATTTTAAAAGTGTAACAGCTGTATTAATATGGCCAACTTACTGTAATTACAGGAAAAGGAAAGTGGAAAGGGAGCATGCCTGTATGTGTCCTCAGCAAAAAGTTCAGATTCAACAACAATCATCATCAAGAAGCTGGAGACTATCAGGATTTACTGTTAAGAAGGAATCAAGCATTGCATTAGCTTCACAGTTATGCGCCTCTGTGAGGATGGCTCTTATTGTGTTGGAAGACTGTGAAGAAAACAATTTCATTGTTACTATCAAGTAAGTATCCCTTTTGTTTGTAAGTCTTTCCATTCTTAAAGATTTCAATGTGAGTGGTCATTAGTAAAGTTTGACAATTAAATGCATGATAATATACATGAAAAAATTATGCACTTCTTATTTGCTGAGAACAAGTGCATTTTTCATGCAGCACAAGTTTGAGGTTATAACACAAGTGCAGATTATAAATAGTATGCTGTTAAAATTGTGAATAAGTGCTACACGTGTACAAATTGCACTTGCCTTATGCACTCTTGCAATTATGTTGTCTTGTGCTTATTATCACCAAATTGTATTGAAAAGATATTACCCGAACAGGATTCCTTTAAAGTGCTGTATGGATTACATGCAGCTGCATGAATTAGCATTGCAAAGATTTCATTTTGTGGATTGTGGACAATAAGTGACAATGAATGTAAATTTCAGGGTAATTTTCACTGGCTTTTTGAAGCTTTTAGCTATAAGTTCTCTCTGAATATTTTGCTCCATCTCTCTCCACCACAATTTGATTGTGGACAATAAGTGACAATAAGTGACAATATAAACTAAAGGGTTTTACTCCTGATTGTAGTGTGCAATTTTTTTAGTTTTGATTGACAGTTGTTACAGTGCTGTTATATGTGTGACTATAAATTTACAAGTTTTTCCTGGATTCTGTCAGATACTTGATGCAAGAGCAGTACATTGATGAGCTTGTGTTCAAACGCTTGACACTGGAGTGTGATCACCTGATAACACAACCATGACAATTTGCAGGTACATGTATCTATCATGTAGAGTTTGGTTGAGTCATGTTTGCTTTTTCATTGTAAAATGCCTTACATTATTTTTCAGAGTATATTCAGAGTGACAGTGAATTTTGAGTGGTGTATTATGCCTTAATCCCTCTTTGAAAAAAAACACATTTCCAAAAAAAAAGACAAAACAAAACAAAAGAGAGGGAAAAAAACAGTGGATTACTTTTTAAATTACCCAGCCAATTGGTATGTGCTTAATTCATTTTTTACCGTTACTAGGCAATGGATTTAACTGGAAGCAAATTAAACCACTAAACCAAGTTCTTTTTAATAATTGGTGGCTCATTTTGTAAAACATGTTGGTTCTGGTTTTCAGTTTCTCCCTGGACATACAACTTTTTTGTAGCAAACACAAAACAAAATTAAAATTAATATAATTGAGCAATGAAGCTGTGTGCATATTGAAAATGTTGTTGGGAGCCATACACAATTTGGTCCCTTTAGGAAAATTGTAAGGTCAATTGAGGATTTCTTAAAATGTTCCTTCAGTTACACTTATTTAGATTTGACTTCAATTCAGCGCATTTCCTACATGTATTCATTTTATTGTGACATGCAATATAGCTCTTTTCAGTCTGGTAAATACTTACACACCTTGTAAAACAAAAAATATAGTGGCCAAATAATAATGTGATTCATGTAGCTTTACAAGGGAGACATTGTCTTAAAAATTTCTTCATAATATTGTTGCAGTTACTCCCAAATCAAAGAGGCCTGGCATTGTAAGAAAAAGGAAATTTGATACAGCTTTTCTATCATCAAGGAACAATGATTGTGAAGGTATGATATTTTATTAACTCTATTGCTCCTGTTGGTGACCAAGACAGAATTTCTCCTAACAATATCAATACAATATCAAGCAGACAAGTGATGAAAATAAGGAAAAATATCAGTTAGGAGATTAAAAGTTGATTCAATACCAAATTCTCCGAACTAACATCACAAGACCTGTATGACAGACCGTAAGGAGAATAATTTTGATTCACATCAACGCTATTAATGTTTTTGCTTCAAAACAGGATTTTTCATCACTGGATAAAGTCACCATTTCCTTGGAGGACATGGAGAAGAAGGTCATGGAAGTTCTTACAAATGAAAGAAAAGCGTTTGGAATTAGGGACAAGCAGTCATGAAAGCTTTTATAAGCAGAATTTTCCAGAGTAAATGTCCACTGTTATTCGCTTGCTCTAAAAAAGAGTCTTAATATGTAAAGTAATCAATAATTATCAATTTTACTACTAACAGTGCATGTAACAATACCAAACAGAAAATCTCATGTTGGAACTAGTGGTAACATAGAGAATTGTAATGAAATGTTTTGTAAACAAAATAGTGAGGAAATCAACATTGCAACAGTCTGGTATTTACAGTTTGAGTAATTTTTTAATTTCTAATTACTTACCCAAGAGCTTTTTGGCAATAATGAAATTGATGTATTTCATTTCTTCCTCTGCATAGTTATTAACTTTTAGACCCTACAGCTTAATGAGTAAAGATGCACATCTATTCCTTTCAAAGCTCAATCCCAAATAGATGCAACTGACTTCTACGTTAGAGGTCACATGAGAAATATACACTTGTGATAAAAAAAAACCTTTATTGAATTTTTTAATCAATATTTACATGTATACTTATCAAAGTTACTGGCAATAAAATTATTCTTGTGATAAGAATTTTGGTTCTTTATAAGAGAAAGTGCGATCAGAGGAATTAAGAGTGTGACAGGTCATCTAAAACAAACCTGTCAAGTACAAGTTTTAAATTACTGATTTTGAAATATGCTGAGGCAGTCTGACTTTGCACTTCAGAAGTTTGCAAATACCAAATCAACACCAAGGACCTTTAGCAGTAAGGAACTGAGGCAACGCCGAGGAAGACGTCACTTAAAAAATGTATTTATATTTTATGTTAAAATTTTGCGGATGGCTGGGTGTGTTCACGGTTTCTTACGACGCTTCACTGAAACTTCAGCATAACGTATGTGAGCCGCTTTGAGTTCCAAATGGAAACTTATTTTAAAGCTTCCGTTCACAGATCACGCAAATTTTGGTGATTTCATTTTGTTTTTTACAGGGCAGCTAAGTAATTTACAAAGGTTTAGTAGGTACCTGCTGATCAGCTATTATTTTGCCAACTGTTATGATATTTTGTTTTGCCTTGTCCTTGTTGCCATTGGCGTCGCGGTTCGCGTTAAGGTCCCTGGTACTTACCCTGTAATATAAACTTGGTCGTAAACTTTGTCGTCAAGACAAACAAAAAGTGCTTGTGTTGTAGAAGTAATTAGAGTTTTGGCGCAATTTTCGCGGCACGAAACTAAAGTCGGTCACAATGAAAACAACAATGTAACTATTTGGAGGCTCAAAAGGTTACGGTTTGTAAAATTCAGCTAGTTGCTCATAAAATCCCCTTATGACAAACTTTAGAGCAGTGATTCATAAACCAAAGTTGTCAGACCACATGTACATTTTTTTCCTGCCGCAGTGATTGGATCAGTCTCGCAGTGCGAAAGATATATAAAAACATTAGAAGAATGAAACTGGTCAATTTTCGTCAGTGGCCGCTCAACAGTTACGGTCTTTTATTTCAAACACGAAGGTTGCGACTGGCTAGAATGCTTACCGCTCCGTTGATATTGCGTCATAAGATCAAAATAAAGCCGATCTCCACGAACGATTACGATGATTTACCCCTATCGATTATAATTCTGGCTACTGCAGTGACCTCAGTGAACGGCGAGTATCAAATTCCAGCCGTATGAGCTGTTCAGAGATGACGTTTCACCGATAGAGATCATGTTTTAATCGAATACCTTAAATTTATTGGTCTAAATTTATGAAGGAACGAAAACACCGAAATCTATATTGCTTGCATTTGAACATTGACTTTTAGTCAGCGGTAAAACCCATCAACTGAGATTTATATTTCATGTCAAATCGAACAGTCCACGAAGTCAAAAAAGAGCGTCCCCAATGGCTATTCGGGATCCTGGATAAGGCTTATTTAAAGGCCGGGATCCGAGAATTTAGTGTAAGAAGGGAACGAGATGCGGGAATGATAGTATGAATGCGACACGGGAATCGGCGATTCTAAGGGGCGGGATACGGGACTGAAATAATCACTTGAACGAACCAAGAACGGGGATGTCCGTTGACGAGAATTTATGATGAAATTGATCGGACTGGTCAGCGACACTTCAGTAATTGCGCAGGAATTAAAATTCTATCAAAAGCGAAGTTGCGAACTTACCAAAAGTCCTCAGTGGCCCACAGGGTAACGTGGCATCTAAAACTGGTGCGTTAATTGCAGTGCTTAACGGCATAACAGCCTTGAGAAACTCCAGAAAGTCTCAGAATTATATCGATGTGCGGCTCTTAACCCGTTGAGTTGCATGACATTAGACGTGGGGGATATTCACTGAGTTGTGCATCACAAATATAAACTTTTCAAGGTATTACATTACGCAAGAAAGTTTGGAAATGCAGCCAAAGAAGGCTTAAAGAGGCCATCCCATTGGGCGGCGTACTATTTTAAATCCAAATTCTTGGTATCCTGTACCAGAACGTGTCATTATCCTGTCGGCCATACAAGTAATTTAACCGTTACCTCCCGCACTGATGGCACCACAGAGCACACAGAAGATGAGGGACTGGACATAAACATTTGCTGCAGCAGCAACAAGAGCTTTAACTCCCCCGTGGTGCCTCAATCAGAGAGATATTCAGGCGAGCGAACCGGTTAGCCTCGAGCGTTCTGACTTCGAGGAATAGCAAGAAAACAGCGGGAAACAAGACAAAGAGGAAAGTGGGATATTAGAGTGCGATTCCTTGAGTGATGATGTTGACGTTCCATCTTTGGAACGAGAGGCTGATTCCCTCCTCGAAAGAGGTTCTGGCTTTGGAAGAAATATTCGCTTTAATAACAGACAGGTAATTTTTTATTTTTCTTTATTTCCCTTGCTATGGCACAATAGGATTGCCGTCACCTTTAGTGTTTTATGCAGTTGTTGAGATTGTTATGCGTTTCTCTGATACTGACCTCTCTTTACTAATACGTTTGTGTGTGATCGAAGTTAAATCGGAAGGAAGTCGTTACCGTGAATAGTGTACTTTATTCGTGCAAAACTTTGAAAACCTCTGAAATGAACGATAAAGAGATAAACTTACGCCTTATGGTGACCAAAGACTTCAACGCATCTATGCTGGTTGAGAAAATCATCACCTACCGAAGAGGCCCTCTTGCGTTTAGGAAATGGACTAGGAAAACACTTTTATGATCAAGATTGACCGGTATAAACCGTCAGAATTACGGGATTGAGAGAAAATATTAGTTGGGATCGCTGGATTGAAGAACCCTATTGGAGACCTTAAAGAAAGCATTGATTACGATCATTAAACAAACATCCTCAAGCAAAAACACGATTCTTTCTTATAAACCTTATATGAGCCCAACGGGTGAAATCGTTTGTTGTTGTTAAAACGTACTCTTGATTTCTTCCCACAGAAAACTGCTCAGTAGAAAAAGAATCAGGGTGTTTCGTCAAAACGAAAAATATTAAAAAATCGCGAAGTAAATTACAAACGGAGAACTTAATCCCGATGAAGTCATCTACCTTTCTATTAATTACGAATTCAAACCACCGATAATTTCAAATCGTCACTCTTTATTCCCACGGTATCAACGAGCACTTTTCATTCAACTAGTTTGTTCTTGTTTGCTCTCCACCATATTCCCAACAACAGCGCAGCTCCTTTTTCTGCATATAAACGCACACACAACCCACAATTCGTCCATTCGCCCTGACGAAGCGCTGACGCTCGAAACGTCAGCTTTCAAACTCCTAACGGTGACCAATCTACGTTTTCAACTTAGTTAATAATATTAAATTACCTTGTTAATCGATGCGCGCGCTTCCATGAGTACTTAACAAATGCACTTGCTAAGAACATGTTAATAAAAGCCAAACAATGCAGGAAGTTGGAATAAAAAAATGTTTTTAAAAATAATTTAATGAGTATTTATGCTATTTGAATTAAATAAGTTATTAATTTCAAAATACACTTGAAATAATTTGGTTAACAATTCTACATAAGTTTAATGAAGAAATGAAGGCGAAAGCTTTAAGTGGAGCGCTACGGCTATGGCATCGGTAATACTTAGGGGCTGCTTTTCTTGTCTGTGATTTCTGCAGTAAAAAGGTGGGAACTCATTTTCTTTGTCAACCTCCATGGTTGTCACTACTCTTTGACATTTTACTGGCCGACGCTGTTGTAGTTCATCGCACAACTCACTTTGGCCCCTCGTGAAAAAACAGAAAAACAAAGCGAAAATGAAAACAGGGAAAAAAGGTGATTCGAAGAATCTGGCAACGGCGTGAGCGCGAGCGTCGATGATTGAATCATACTAAACGGTGCATGCTTGCGTATGCCACATTGTCTCATTCAGTTTTGCGTGCTGCGAAATAAAATTTTTCTTCATGAAAGTCAGGCACATCCGTCAAATGAAAGATTGTGCACTGTAACGCGTTTTGAAACCAAGGCAAATGCCATTGGGAGAGAAGCGAGTCAGTCTGTTCGAACTCAGGGCTGGTCAGTGGGTTTTCTGTAAAGTTTACGTTTGTTGCGTCATAATACACGAAGCCATGGAAAATTCAACAGTGTTTCCTCGTTGCTCAGTGAATTCGGGACGCAAAAACAGTAAAAAAAACTCTTTCACATGTTATTATGGATTTCAAGGACTGTCACGGTGGTGGTAAAATTTGAGGTAGCGTAATCGTTTGCGCTCTGCTTTGACTTGTATCGCTTTGTAGTCATGTTTAGACTGCAGCGACTGCCCAAGGCAGACCGAGATCGGACTTGGGAAGTCTGACTTGAGTTTTTCGCAAGCATTTTAAAAATTGTTCTGCTACGTAAATATCTTTTTTTTTTTAAACCCGCCACTTGGAAGCCCTAAAGCACATCTCATTTTAAACCTGATGTATTTGTAGTTTTCGGTTTTGCAATTTATGAGAACTTCATCGCGTAGCAGGTGAAGACCTGAGGAGGGAAATTCGTTCAGTTCGTATGAACTTGAAATGTATCGGCCCACACCTTTTCATAACTTGATTTAAAGCGCTCGAAAATGATCGATCCTTTTCGGATAGGTGGCGTGAATTTGCCAATATTGTTTTTTAATTGTTAATTTGGCTGACGAAGAATGAAAACATACATGAAATAAACTGATTTTCTTTGACGTAACTCGATCGTCCACCTTGAATCTCATGTTTCAATTCTATTTTAGACATTTTGGTGATACCTTATTCATGTTCCACCGTATTTTTTCGCTCATACAACTGCCGAGTGACCCAGT